CAGAGCCTGTAACCCTGGCCTCCCTCGCCCTGCCCGCCGGATGGCTGGGAGGCTAGGGCCTGCCTTGCCCATGCAGTGAGGGAGCTTGGTCCCCCCCACTTCCTCCCAAGATTCCAGCTTCTCTCTTGGAGGCATCATCACGCCTGATTCCTCCCTCTTTATCTCCTCCATGGCCCTTTGCTGGTCTGTTTCTTTCTCGGTGAAGATATGACCCCAGAGAGCATCTCAATTACAAACCAATAGCTATGATGCTGACGCACAGTCGTCTCCAGACATCCAAGTGGGGGCTGAACGCAGAGTCCCTCTCGGTAAGTATAGGCCAGAGGCATCCAAATGTTGCCACCTGTGACCATGCTGCACTTCAGCTGGAAAATACATATACACACACCCCGTGGGCAGGGCTCCTTGGGGCCCTGAAGGATTGGCATCACTGCTGTGTCAGGATCCCACTCAGCCATTGCCTGTGAGAAGGATCCCTTATGGGGCCTTAGAGTCCTTCCTCCTCTGTTATTGGCCATACCAGGGAGGGCTGACTGTACCCATTTCAAAGCATCAGTGGCTGCAGGGAAATTGCTGTGGCTGTTCTGAGCCTTCTACAACTTCACAGAAATCTTACAGACGCCCTCCCCAATCTTTGCAAATAATTCTCCCCGGTTTTATAGTTCAGAAAAGCCAGCTTTGAGCGGCCGAGGGGCCAGAGCCCAGGTTGTGATGTGGGTTGGAGCTGGTACACTCTAGAGCCTGCTTTCAGCTGGGCCCCATGCAGACCTGGAGCTCAGCTGCTCTGGAAGTTGAAGCAAGAGCACCATCTGGTCAAGGCTTGCCTGAGCCCCACAGAGTTCAAGGGTAGCCTGGAACTTTGTGAGAGCCTGTTTAAAAGGAAAAGAAACAGAAAAAGAAAACTTACGAGGCTGGGGAGAAGGCTCAGTGGCTAAACCCTTGCTGGGCAAGCGTCAGGACCTGAGCTTAATCCCTAGAGCCCCGGATTATTTTTTCTTTTTAAGCCAGAGGTCGTAGTGGTTAGAGGACAGTCTCAGGAGTTGCTTCTGTCATCCATCTTGTTCCTCTGCTGTTTGCTAACTTGCCCAAGAGCACTTAGAGGCCGCCTCGCACCTCACTGTGCAACGCTGAGGCTAGAGACACTCTACACTGCACAGCCTTTCATGGGTTCTTACGCTTTTGAGGCAAGCGTTTTATCCTTTGAGAGCAGCCTGGCCTGTGTTTGAATTCCCTCAGGGTGACTCGGAGCCCTGGGAACTCATCTTGAAAGTGATGGCATAGCAGGGATGTGAGGAGAACACAGAGCAAGCATTTGGTGTTGGCCCTGGGAGCCAGGCTCTGCAGCCACCATGTAGCTTAGGTTAAAGTCCCAGGTGCAGCTGTGTGGTTTTGGGTAAGTTACTTGCCCTCTCTGAGCCTCACTTTCTAAGTCTATAATTTGGAGTACAGAGCTGTGGGGGAGGGGACGGGGTGTTGGGGGCTGTAACCAGGGAGCAGGTTCAGCAGTAGGCAGAGTTTGGTAAGCCTGGTGATGGCAGCATGTTCTGAGATACCAAAGGAGGGCATCCATCTCAGTCTAGGTCCAGGACAAGAGCTCCACCATCAGCAGCACTGAGAAACAGGGACTGCAGAGTTCAGTCTCTGCACTTGTGAAGACCCGAGGCCAAGAGTTCTCAGTCCTGACCACACACTGGCACCACATGGGGGTCTCATCCAATGCCCACATCCAGATCCTTCACTGGTCTACAGGAGACCTGGCATCCCATGAGATGTTTAATGCTGCAGAAAACAGTAACAAGTAGCCAGGCCGGAGACTCACTAAGTTAGATTAATCAGAGATGTACTCTAACTAAACAGGCCCCGGCTTCCTGAAGAGGCGATATTTGAGCTGAGATTCAGGTGTTAGTGGGGTCTAAACAGAGAACAGGTCCCGGGGCAGGCCTGAGTGAGGTGTGTGAAGAAAGCAGCAGGTAGCCTGTACCTGCCAGGGTGGGAGAAATGTGGCTGTGTGTAAGTAGCCAAGGGCCCAAGTCCCCGGAGGGACAACAGTGGGAAACTGCATCTTCCTCTGGCCGGAAGGACTAAATTAGTCCTTGGCACAGGGAAAGAGCAGCCCTCCCTTATGCCCACAGCTGACATAAGCCCTTCAAAAGTCCTTGAACCCAAGAACTGGAAATTCCACAAGGATGGCTCCTGAAGCGTGCCCAGTCTCCTGGGCAGGCCACTGGTGAGGAAAGGTCCTGGGGAGGGTGAGGCAGGAAATCATGACAGTGACCAGTGTAAGAGGAGATGGCCTAATTGTACCTTTGGGGCCCATCACAAAGACCACGAGAGGGGTGGCCGGCCGGCAGGGAGAGACAGCAGGCTGCCAGGAAAATGGTACCTCCTGCCAGGCCTTAATTACTGCTCTGCTGTGGTGTGTGCCCGGTGGACGCAGGTGTTTCTATTTTCTGGCACAATTATCTAGGAGGCTAGGGCAGGATCGTCAGGGATGCAGGCATGCGTCTGTGTCTTTGTGCGTAGAGGCTCGGCCTCAGGGGACAGCATATCTGCCCTGCTGGTATGTGCACCTCTGTGTGTGTGTGTGTGTGTGAGAGAGAGAGAGAGAGAGAGAGAGAGAGAGAGAGAGAGAGAGAGAGAGAGAGAGAGAGAGAGAGAGAGAGAGAGAGAGAGAGAGACAAAGACAGGGACAGAGACAGAGACAGAGATCTGAGTTCATTGTAAGCATCCAGGCCTATGCGTGCTATGTGTGTGTGTGATGTGGGTTTATGTTTGTACATATGTGTACCTGTGTGCTCACAAGTGAAAACTGTAGGTTTTCCAAGCAGGGTTCCATCTTCCATGAGTAGGTCATTGGTTGTTAGTGAGCTGTGGGTCTTGGTTCTAGGCCACACAGCCTTTGCCCACTGGAGAGACGTCCCAGCCTGCTGGCTTGGTCTCGCTAGGAATGTATTTTGGAACAACTTCTTTGTCCATGGCAGTCAGCCAGCTGACTCTTCCTACTGCAGGGCCTAAGGTGGCCAGCTGCGTCCTGTGGCTGGAGTTGACGTGGGTCAGTGCACAGTGAGGCCTGGCCCCAGGCCATCTGGCCTGCTGGGCTCCCTGTGTGGAGAGCATTGGGACGAGCTACAGGCCACTGTCTGGACGTCTTCCCAACAGCTGGGGCCCTGGGTGAGAGGAAGAGGAAGGGAGGCCCGCCACATGGGCCTGAAGGGAGCCGTCCCAAGTGGGACTGAGAGGTATGAGGATGCAGAACTGCTCAGAAGATGAACTGTGTAGTAAGGGTTTTCCAGTTACTCCGAGGCCCTCACACACCGGCCATTGTTTGGAGGCAGTTCTTGCACCTGGGCTTGCGTCCTGACACTTGCAGTAACAACCCTGCTGTCATCCACCACACTGCCACGCTGGCTCCTCCCACCATTCTCTTTCCCCTGTGCATCAGTAGCCTTGGCTCCCTCTGAATCCCAGGGCTCCACCCCAGGGCCTTTGCAGTCTTGTGTCTTAGACTTCTGCTCTGCCTAAGGGTGGCTCCTAGCCATCCATTGCCTTAGATGTCTCCTGTCCTGGTCGCCCTCCGCCATGACTATTCTTGGTTGTCACTTGACTGCATCTGGAATTAACTAAGACCCCCAAAACGAAGAGGCATGCCTGTGAGGGGGTTTTGCTTAAAGAGGGAAGAGCCACTGTAATCCAGACCTTTGAGGTGGGAAGACCCACCTCGAATGTGGACCTCACCATCTGCAGGAAGCTTATGTGGGGACATGGAAGGACTTCACTCTGCCTGCTTTCTCTTGCCTAGCTAGCAAATCCATTCTTTCCCTGGCGTTAAAGCCTACTTCTTTGGAAGTCTGGCACACGATGAACACTGAGACATCCAGCATCATGGACTGAACAACTTCTGGATTGTTGGACCTTCCATTTATAGTAAGCCGTTGTTGGATGAGTTGGATTACCACAGCCTGTAAGTCATTCTAATAAATCCCATGTATGTATGTATGTATGTATGTGTGTATGTATGTATGTATTCTAGAGTCTAGGGAACCCTAACTATTATACCCTTCTACCCCACATCTCTGTCACATCATGCTCTGTGGAACCTACAGTCATCTCTGTCCTTATCATGTTTTCCCACATTGTCCTGTATTCTCTGAAACACAAGCCCTGTGCAGGTAATCCCTGTATGTCTTGTTCAATCCCCTTATTATATGACCAGGGTCCATAAGGAATGTTTGCTAAACAGATCACAATGGCTTAATACATCCACTGAGCATGAAGCAATGCATCAGGAATGGAGTTTTATTTCAAACTCATGATGAGAGCAGGCACCCAATGCTCTCTTACTGTTGAGGGAAGATGGTGCTCAGAGAAGTTGAGAGACTTGTGTAAGGTGTAAGATGACACAGCAGCCAGGATGAGAGTCTAGACCCTCTCAGGTATGTCTGGCATAGCTTCATAGTATTGGTATTTCCTAGGGGTCGGGAAGCAATTAGAATAAGAAAAGTCTGACTCAGTTGCTTACAGACAGGTGACTATTATCTGTCATCCACCACTCTGAAACAAAGTACTCAAGTTCAGTGGCTTAAAACAGCCAAGGGTCTTTAACTTGCAAGTGTTCAATGCAATGAGTCATTGGTCTGGTTCGAGGCCTCTGGTTTCTGCTACCCTATAATTCTGAGCGCTCACTGGGACTTCTCTTGCATATCCTGTTGCTGTCCTGGGTCATGTCGATCCTGTAGATTTGGGTCTGAGGGTCTTGCCCTTTCACATGCTCAAGTAGACCATAGATGGGGTGGATGTTGGGATGGGCCAGCTCATGGCTCTGGTTCTGGGCCTGGGTGGTCAGTCCGCCAGCTCTCCCTCATCGTCACCATCAGGTGAGCTCTCTAGTATCACCCCTGCTGGTTCACCCTGTGCAGGAAGCAGCGAGGGGCAGGGCCAGTTCTCCTGTTCCCACACCCACAGGGCCGGCTCACTCACGCCTAAACCACCAGGGTCTGCTCTACTGAGTTTCCCAATCAACGTGCAGGGGCCGCTCTCCCAAGAATCCCAGCAGTGAGAAGCAGGGCCAGCTCTTGCACTCCATCCTGTCACAGGCAGCAGGAGGTAAGGGGGCTTCTCTCCCTTGCCCATGCCACCCTATAGCAGGTGAGGGGAGGACCTAGATCTCTCATGTCCATGTTCTCAGGACTACTCACCTGTGGGACAGCACCCCCACCCCCCGTCAACAGGGTCACTGCAGTGAACACTTGCAAGTAAAGATGTATGGACTAAAAAGGCATACTGTGTAACTCACTGTGTCTCACTACAGCTTTCACCAGGAGATCTTTTTTCTTCTTTCTTTTAAATTTTATTTTGTTTTATCTTGGGGGTGGGGGAGGAGGTTGCAAGGGCAGAGGGTGGATGCAAAGAGATGAGTGGGATTGAGATGCATAATGTAAAGTCCACAAAGCATCAATTAAAAAGTTAGGCTAGGAAAAAATAGCCAAGGGCCAGAGTGGGAGAGATGGCTCAGCAGAGGAGCCCAGTTTGGTTCCTGGCACCCTCATGACAGTTGGAAGCGGTCTAAAACTCCAATTTCGGGGAATCCGGAGCCCTCTTCTGGCCTCTGTGTGTACTGCATGCACATGGTGCACAGACATACCAGCAGGCAGAACACGCATACACATAACACAAAAATAAATAGACAAAATGTCCAATGGCTTTGTTTTGAGAGGGTGGTTGTTGTTTTCAAATAATGAGTGTTGGCCACTTGCCTCCAGGGCTTGGCAGGGTTTGACTGACCCGGCCCGTTCTGCTTCCCATAGTCTTGGTAGACTTGGTGGACACAAGAGGGTAGGACCCTGGGTCGGAGGGCTGTTGTTGTCTATTCCCCTGACAAGCTGGCAGCTGGCTTGGACCTAAGTTTACCTCTAGGTATCCTTTCCAGTGGTTAGCTCCAACTTTGCATGACTACTGGATCCCAATCTTACAGAGGGAACATCTGTCACAGCCACAGGCCAAGTTACAAGGCCAAACCCAGATCAAGAGGTATTCAAAAAGCTCTGGGTGTGAGACTTCAGGGAGGTCATACTTAATCCACAGAGTTCTGGAGACAGTAACTACAACTGGGATGTGCAGCTGTGCCCCCCCCCATCCCCACAGATAGACTCATAACCTCCCTGACTCTTGGCATTGGAGTCTGCATCCCTGTAGGGTACCTCGGATACAGATTCTCTTCAGAATGTCTCCCTCTTTTGTAGAAGAGGAACACAGGGCTGGCAGCAGGTACCCCTTGGCTTGTCTGAGTCCAGTGTGTGAGCATGAGTTGTAGCCCCTGAGCTTCAAGCCTTTCCTCTTCGAAGTCAGAGAAGGATCTGTGTGTTGTCACTTTACAGACAAGGAAACTCGAGGCTGTGTGACTGTAGCTTATCTGGAGGACACCTGCAGGGGTGGAGTAAGAGTCAGGACTGTAGAAGGTAGTCCTAGTCTCGTCCATCCAGGCTGATACCTCAGCATCTGCATAGAGTCATGCCCCTGAGGGCAACAAGAGCCCTGGTCTATGGGGTAACTTTTTTCTTTTTCCTCTTCCTCCTTCTCCCCTGAAAATAATGCTGACCTGGAGGCCACAGCAGAGAAAAGATCCCAGACAGATTCAGACCTCTGTGTACTGGATCAACCCTCCAGCCCTCTGTTCTCCAGCCTGTGGGACACAAGATTCTTTGTTTCCTTAATGCTGCATCATCTGTCTGTTTGCATCTACACAGGCTGTCCTGTGACAGAAGCTGGTTCCTTCCCCGACTTCAAAGAGCTGAAGCTACCCCCTCCTCAGAGCACTACTACCTCTCCCTCTTTCTTGTCTTAACCGCCTTCAGAACAGGCCAAGAAGCTAAGCATGAGGAAGTTCCTTGCAGAGACAAGCAAGTGGGAGGAGACCGGGTGTAGGAGGAGGTCCTGTGTCTGAGTCTCCTGTAGGGCCAGTGGTTTGCTTCAAATATGACGCTGAAGAGAAGACTACAAGGAACCAGATTAAACCAGCCTAAACTGGAGTTCCCCACTTGCAGGTGACCTAGTATAAGCTGTCTTGGCCACCTCATTATAATGCTAAGTTCTCTGCTCAGTCTTGGAGCATAGCATGTGTGAAGAAGTCTGCTTTCATCCTAAGAACCACATACAGCTGTGTGTCAGCCTCTTGTGTGACACCATGAGGAGATGAGGGGTCTTCCGAGAAACCCCTTGCTCCTCCTCTCTGGGAACCATCCTTGTTTCATGCGATAAGTCTTCCTTATTTTACTCCTCTTCCTTATCGCATGCAGTCAACCAACCTTCCTCATTTTTACTCCCTTTCCTTGCTGGATGCAATCAACTTCCTTGTTTTTCCTTTCAGGTTCAGTTCACTGGCTTTGTCTGGGCCAAGGGCTGAGTCCACTGGGTCCTTGTAGAGGTTTGGATGAAAATGTCCCCCACAGGCTCTGGCATTTGAATACCTGTGCCTCAGTTTGTAGAAGTCTAGGAGGTTCAGCCTTGCTGGAGAAAGTTTGTTGCTGGGGGTGGACTTGGAGGTTTCAAAGCTCTCCCATATCCAGTGCGTTCTCTGCTGCTTGCTGCCTCTGCCTTGCCATTATGGACTTTAACTCTCTGGAACTATAAGCCAAAATAAATGCTTTCTTCTGCGAGTTGGGTTAGGGTATTTATTGCAACAACAGAGAAGTAATGTGGTCCTGGGTGCAGGCAGGAGAGACGTTGTGGACATCAAGCCCAGGCTGCAGAGCCAAGCAACTCTTTGCATTCCTTTCCTGTAGAGACATCTTCTTTCCCCATAGAGTGGGTGTTAGGGACCTCGCTGAACACTCTGAATCTCCTTCCTCTGCGGCCGCACATCCCTTCACTGACTTCTCAGGTCTCAAAAAACCAAAATAAAAAAAATGTCTGGGGAGAATTTTAGACCTATTGTCAACTCCTCTTGAGACTGAACTTGGTCATCCCTCTCCAGATAGGTAGGATTGATTTGTTCCCATAACAGGTCACCATCTTACAGGACACATAGCTCTGGAATATAAGAGATTTGAAGCAGGTGGGAAAGTGTCCATTGGAGGACCATGATATGAGCCACTTAAAAAAGCTACCTTTCTCCTGGGGTACATCAACCATCAGGTTGAAAGATACTGGAGATGCTTCAAAGAAAACCAATTGGGCCTCAGACTCTCTAGGTGGTGGGCAGTGCTTTGAAACCTTGATCTACCTGCTGTCACTGCCCAAGTGCTGGCATTAAAGATGTGTGCTGCAGAGAATTCTCATAGAGGAGTCTAAAATGGCTGAGAGACACTTAAGAAAGTGCTCAACATCCTTAGCCATTAGGGAAGTGCAAATCAAAACAACCCTGAGATACCATCTTACTCCTGTCAGAATGGCTAAAATCAAAAATACCAGTGACAGATTATGCTGGAGAGGATGTGGAAAAGGGGGAACACTCATCCATTGCTGGTGGGAGTGCAAACTTGTACAGCCACTTTGGAAATCAGTATTCCTCAGAAAAATGAAAATCAGTCTACCACAAGATCCAGCAATTCCACTCTTGGGCATATACCCTAAAGATGCCCATTCATACAAGGATGTCTGTTCCACTATATTCATAACAGCATTATTTGTAATAGCCAGAACTTGGAAACAACCTAGATGCTCCTCAACTGATAGAGTGGATAGAGAAAATGTGGTACATTTACACAATAGAGTACAACTCAGCGGAAACAAAACAATGGAATCTTGAAATTTGCAGACAAATGGATGGCACTAGAAGAAACCATCCTGAGTGAGGTAACCCAGTCACAAAAAGACAAACATGGTATGTACTCACTCATATATGGATTTTAGACATGGATCAGGGGAATGTCAGCCTACAATCCCAGTGCCAGTGAGGTTCCCAAGAGAGATGCATTATACCCCAGAGAAATGGAGTAAGGCAAGCTCCCCTGAGCAGAGTGGGAACATGGGGGGAGGGGAGATGGAACCAGGAAAAAGAGAGGGGGATAAGAGGAGAGGAGAAGAAGGTATGGGTGAGCAGGAAGGCTGAGTTTGGGTAAGAATAGAGGAGAGCAGGATGAGAAATACCATAATAGTTGGAGTCATTATAGGCTTGAGGAGAGAGCTGACACAAGTGAGATTTCCAGAGATCTGTAAGGATAACACCAACTGGCAAACTAAGCAATAGAAGACAGACTACATTAATAGCTCCTCCCTGATGATAAGATTGATGACTACCCTATAGGCCATCCTAGAACCTTCATCCAGTGACAGATGGAAGCAGAGAAAGATACCCACAGCTAAACACTGAACTGTACCCCTGGAACCCAGTGACAGAGATGGAGGAGTGATGAACAAAGGGGTCAAGACCATGCTGGTGAAACCCACAAAGACAGCTGACCAGACAAGGGGGAGCTCTTGAACCCCAGATTGACGGATGAGAGGCCAACAGGGGACTGATTCAGACTCCATGAATGCAGTGTCAGTGAGGAGGCCTCAGAAATCTCTGGAGCCTTGGGTAGTAGATCAGTGATCACCATGGCATATGAATGAACTTTGGGAGCCCATTCTACGTGGAGGGATGCTCTCTCAGCCTGGACACATGGGGAAGGGCCTAGTTCCTGCCCTGGATGAAATAATAGACTCTGGAGATTACCCTAAGGAGGGCCTCACCCTCCCTGGGGAATGATGTGGGGATTGGGCTGGGGACTGGGGGGGACTGGTGGAGGGATAAGGGAGGAGAGTGGGAGAGGGAGCTAGGATTGACATGTGAAGCATGAATGTTTCTAATTTAAATAAAAACATATATTGAGAAAAAAAGATGTGTGTTGCTACACCCATTTTATGCTATGCTAGGAATGGAACCCAGGGCTTCCCACTCTATGCTTGCCTAATATGGAAAGATGCTTGCCTAATGTGGGGAGATAAGATGGCATTGTCTCCCCAGCCTGCCCATCAGGCTTCAATGCGTCAGAGAGTCAGGCCTGGGATCTCCAGCTAAGAGGCTTTGTTCTCTTTCATTCCTTACACTGCTGGGACTTACATAAATCAGACTGTTTTTCATGGCCATCCAAGCTCAAATGTCCCTTCTGAAGCCCTTCCTGGAAGTTTTAGCTCTGAGAGAAGTTTAGTGTCACGCAGTGAAGAATGGCATCCATGTCCCAGTGATGACTCTGTGGCTGGTTGACTTCCTGCACCTGCAGGCTCTGCACCTGCTTAGTCAAGGTTTCCTCAATGCCAGGAACAGGCCACCACCTCTTTCCTCTTCTTTCGTCCACCTGGGCAGGGTTCTGCAGGCCATCTCCCATCTATGCCGTTATGAGCTACAGAGCCAACCACATTGGCCAAGTGGCTCTCTAGTCATACTTCAGATCCACACCAAAGTATTTCCATCCTGGCTGGTCCCTATCAGCTGTGGCATCTGAGCTAACCTCTCTGGGCCACCATTCTTTCTACACAAGATGGCAAAGGGCCTGGTTTTTTATAAGCCTTGCTTCCTTCCTCCCTTTCTTCCATCTTTCCTTCCTTCCCTCCTTCCTTCCTTCCTTCTTTCTCTTGAATTTGTTTTTGTTTTTTTGTTTTGCTTTCTGAGACCAGGTTTCTCTGTGTAGCTCTGGTTGACCTGGAACTCAGGTCAGTAGAGCAGACTGGGTTTGAACTTAGAGATCCACCTGTTTTTGCTTCCTGCACACTAGGATAAAGGTGTGAGTTACCACACCGAGCTGGGGTTTGACTTCCACCCAAGACTGAACATCTGTGCTCAGCTGAAGACAATGAGGCCTGGGAAACGCCAGGTCCCTGCCTGCTCTAAGCCATGATTTGAGTCAATTTGGGGTTCAGGTTGCTGTAGTATTTAAGCTTAGATGAATGTGACCCCAAATTCACATTTTCTCTCTCTTCCTCCCCCCATTTGCTCACCTGCTCCCCTCAACTGAAGGTGAAGACCCGGCAGGCTTAGCTCAGCTTGGTGACCCTGCTGAGCCTTCTGCTCTTCCTCCAGAGGGTGAGGCCCAAGCTGGGAGCTGACAAGCCCTGCAGCCCCTGGGGTGGCTGCCAACAGATGTCGATCTGCCAGGGCATGGTGGAGGCTGGCTTCCTCTCCTGGCAGTGATCGGTAGGCGTTTATTTCCTTTTAAGAGACTAGCATCTGTGGTGTGTTTATGGTTTAATTTATATTTTCTCTGCCACAGAATGCAGAAAGTCTGGGGAAGGACAGCTCTGTCTGGGTGACTGCTCCCTTAACCCTGGGGACAGTCATCTCCCAGGAGCAGCGGCTCACAGGACAGGACCGTCTGGGCTTGACTAGAATCTAAGACTCTTACTGAAGATCAGTTGATGGCTGCATCAGCTGTCCCAGGAGGACCTGTCCACCCAGGACCTGGGCACAGGTGGTCATTACAGTGCAAGGTGTCGCATTGGGGATAGTATATTCCTTAGTACATGTGGATTCCAGAGGAGGGTGGGGTGTCCTACTCCACCATATTCCAATAATATAACAGTATCTGTTATTCCCTCAAGACTGAACTTGGAACAAGGTTGGCAGCTAGTAAGTCCCAGGCATCCTCCTGTCTCTGTTCCCACAGTATTGGGATTGTGGGTACCCACAGCCACACCCAGCTGTGTACATGGATGAAGGGATTCGGATTTAGGTTTTCATGCTTGTGCTGAGCCATCTCCTGGCCCCTGGTAGTCGTTAATAGATTTGAGCAGCCCTGAAGCGCCAACCAAGGTCTTCCTGCAGGCTAGGCAAGCGCTCTACCAGTGAGTAACACAACAGCCTTTTATGTAACTTTCAAATTGGAGATGGCTTAAAAGTTGAAACAGCTGCAAAAATAATCCTGAAAATTCCTACAAAGATACCCTCACCTCACTACCCCACACAGATGCCACCAACCCTCATCCCTTTGTCCCACACAGATGCCTTCTGTGACCCTGTTGGAATCTGGAGATCTGCCCTTCGAAACATCACATTCAAGCTCCACTCTGTTTCTTCAAATTGCACAGGCTCCTGCAATCCTGTTTTTAATTTTCAGTTTTTATCGTCTTCCTCCAGTGCCTGACTTGGGGCAATGCAATCTCCAGCCCTCATCTCCACTGTCTGCTCAGCTCCCTGTCATTCATGCTCACATGGTGATGCATTTCCATTTCAGGAGGATGCAGTTCACAGTCTGGGACCTCCCTTCACTGCCCTTTGGCTTCCTTTCCTGGGTCCTCTCTAAGCATTATTTCCATAGTTTGGGTGAGATGTTGGCATTTAGGGTTATGATTGTTTTTATTGTATTTCATTTGCTTAGTTCTCTGCTCGTGAACCACTCATTTTCTAACCTCAGACTTCCCCAGTTTGCCCAAAGTGTTCTTGTACTTTGTCCACATTGGCCTTTCTCCACTTCATCATCTTAAGATGTCTTCTCGGGCCAGCCTGGACTTGCGGGCAGAGGGCCCCATTGTATGAGGGCCCTGGCTGCTTGTCCTGCTTCTTCAATCTCTGTCTTTCTTTTTTCGTTCACTCTCTCAACAAGGAGTGCATTCTCCAGTAGTTTTCAGGGGGGTGGGATGGGGATAAAAGGTATCTGGAGGCAAATCATATTTTGAATGTCTAGGGCAATTTCTTTGGTTTTCTGAAAGAAGTCTGCTGGAAGTGCTGTTCCTCTGGGACCTTAGGGGCTTTGTTCCATCATGTTCTCACTCATAGGACTGCGGAGAAGCCTGAAGTTGCCTGACGCAACCTTTACTTCTTCAGAAGCTTACAGACTCCTCCATGCTTCCAGGACCTTGAGTCTCCACTGACCCTCAGTGGTGGGAAACTGGCTTCCTCTCCATGCTGCACCTCTCTAGGGTCCTTTCAACCTTAAGATGTACATCTTTCACTTGAGAAGGTCTCCTCAACTGTTTATTGACATTTCCTCCCCAAACTCCCCATCTTTTCCCATGGAATCCTTGTCTACTATGGCCTCTTCTTGTAGGGTTTGGGTAATTATGATTGTATGATTATCAAAAGTGTGTCCTATCTACCTTTCTAGTTCTGTCCA